TTTATAAAAAAACTTTTTCTCCCAATCATTTCTTTTTTAGTGTGGCCCAACACCACCTACAAGATTTCCCGCCGGATGGGGCGGGGGGGGAAAATTCTGGGAGTTGAAATCCACCCATCTTAAAGTTGTCAAGGTTGAGAAACACTGCTCTAAAACTTGACAGGGGTCGGGACCCTTAAAATTTTGATGAATTGTCAGCCTTTAATTTTGCAACTTACTTTATAGTTAATATAAATCACACTTAACAGATATGTTTTAAAAATAAGCTTTCAAATTAATATTTTTGAGTGATGTAAATTGAACATTATCTTTTTGGTTACCTTTCCACATTAGGACTGAAAAAAAAATGATTGTAAAAACTTTGCTTTGCTTTGTAGTATCTGCTTTGTGAGAAGGGAGGACTAGCAATAATTGTAACAATTAGCAATAGCGCATCAGTTTGTGGAATTTAATCCAAAGGCATTAGAGTCCTTCCAAATAGCACTGATTAGCTAATTCATTCATAAATTGCTCTCATTTACATATTCACTACACCTGGGAAGGTTATAGGGTGAGTTATGACCTGAGATCTTTAATTCCATTATGGTTCCATGCAGAGCAAACGGGACAATGCCCATTTAGAGGCATAGTTCTAGGAAATTGCGCTATTCCTTTTTCATCTCGTAGCAGAGACTACCCTCTATTGGAATGAAAGGGAAAATCAAGCCTATTATAACAGTTTATCTAAGATTAAAGATGTGGCAACGACTTCAGATATTAAACATATGTTTTCACATTTTACAATTTTAACCTTTCTTGGTTGTGTCCATTTATTTAAGTTAATACACGTCTAGCGTGTAGCCATAAAAGCTACCTCTGATTTTTGTGTATGTGAGAGTTAGAATGTTTTTTCCCCTTCCTTTCTTCTAAACTAAGAAATTTTCCCACTTGCTATTAACAACATTTTTCAGAGTAATAATCTTGTTATTTGCAAAAAAGGATGCTGAAAAAATACTTGCCTTTGACACTCCAGGATCTTTCTGTAAATAAATTAATACATTTCAGTTAAGCCTCAGTAAAGGCATGGTAGGGTTAGCGTAGGTAGTATAATCTGTAGCTATGACCGTGTCAATTTTTAAGCACATAATCTCACTAAATTTTGTAAAGTTCCAATCCCACACATTTGTGGTTGTCAGTGGGATAAAACTCTCCTGGAGAGGGACAAAATAACTGCATACATTAAGAGCAATGATTGCTGTACTTTCATCTCCTTTCCCAATTGTAATATGTAAATTTAAGTTGAGTCTCGGAAGGGTATTTGTATTTTATTTTGATTATTGAAATGGAACACTCTTTTTGAAACTTGGTTTTCTGTCCTTTCCTCCTAGCTACCGCTGTTTGGCACTTTTGTACTGGAGAATGTTTCAGCTCAAAAGAGACCATGCTGTAAAATATTCAAAAGCTCTCATTGAGTATTTCAAGGTATGTTTTTGCTCAGAGAAATGCCAATGTTTTCTGTAGTTAGAAGCAATCCTATAACTAAAGTTAGAGAGAGAGATGATTGCTTCTAACTACAGAAAACATTGTGGTCATTTGTTGGGAAATGCTTAACCGTGAAACAGCCCCAGATGACTCGCTAGGGAAATACGCCATTGCTGCTGATCTGTGTGTTCCCCATAATGCGTACCTGAGAAAAGAAACACGTGAGAGGATGTCACTGCCTTCGTAAACGACTGCTGATGAAACAATGCCTGGAGGGGGGATAAGGTAAAAAAGCTTTTTCTTCCATTCCAGCCTGCCCACTCCCAAGTAATGGAGGAAGAAACAATTTCAGGGACTCACTTAGAGTGGAAGCACGGCTTATGGTGGCCAAAGACAAGCTCTTTTCAGTGACTGTGTCAGCGTTCCAGCACATTCCTGGATGTCTTTTGTCACGTTTTGTATGTCAGTCCTTTCAGTGCAGTTCAAATATTATTTGACCTATGATTTCTGCTTTTGCATTTTCATTGGCTTTGAAACTGTAGGGACATGTACTTTCAAGGTGTTTGTAAATTGTAGTCAACTGCTCAGAGTGGTGTCCAAGTATTCACTGTGCCCATTCCTTAATAAATTAAATGCAGTTTAGAAGCTGCCTGATTCCAGGTGGCTGTAGGCAGCTTACATTAGAAAAAGTAAGAATAATTAAAAAAACAAACAGATTTTAAGCATCCAGAAGGCGAACTCTATATAACCAAAACAAAAATCCTACAGGGGCTCAGCCAGCACCCTGCCCCAAGGCCTGGGAGAACAGTCATGTTTTCAATGACTTTCTGAACATCAGCAGGTTGGGGGCTGAACAGATCTCTGAGAGATGCTATTCCAGAGGACAGGTGCTACGAGCAGACATGTTTCCCATGTCCCAATAGATGAGACTATTTTTTTGAAGGGACACAGATCTGTGCCCATGCTCACTGGATGGGCAGAAACAATCAGAGATAAGCAACCCTCAAACAGCCAGGCCCTGTGCCCTGAAAAGCTTTATGGGTGAAAACCCTGAATGGCACCCAGAAGCCAACTAGCAGCCACTGCAGCTCACAGAGCAGGGCTTTCACATAGGCATAGTGCAGCCTGGCCATCACTGCCCACACCGCTCCATTCTGAACCAGCTGTGGCCTCTGGGTGGTCTTCAGAAGCAGCCCTATTAACAGCAAATTGCAGTGGTTCATTCGTGAGGTGACTGTGACACAAGGGACAGTATACTCGCTCTGTCCAAAGAAGAGCCTCCAGATCCAGGAATGGGCACAACCAGTACACTGTATGAATCTGTGTGAAGGATCTCTTTGCCACAGCTGCCCTCTGTTCTTTGAGCAGGAGCTGTGAGTCCAATACGACCCCCAGACTGTTCACCAGTCTCAAGCTGAGAAGTGCAAATCCATCCAAGACTAAAGATGGAAAATCCCCAGAACTGGGGGTGGTCTTGGCAGGACTGAGCTGAGTCTATTCTTACCCATGCAGAACTACACAGCATCCAGACACAGACAGGATCTCGACAGCATCATTTCATGGACCGGGGTTGCAATGTACAGTTGGATATCACCAGGATATTCATGATACCAGATCCTGAATTGACAGATAACTTCTCCCAGCAGGTTCATGTAGGTGTTAAACAAATGGGCAAGAGGAGCAACACCACAGTGTGGTATCCCTCCACTCCCAATCCCTGCAGTTGGCCCAGAAGGATACTGTGATTGATGGTATTGAAAGCCATGAGAGATAAAAAAGCATTAAATGCATGCACCATCCTCATCACAGTTCTGCCAGAGGTCATTGAAAAGCATGATCAGTGCTGCTCCATGCTGTATCCTGGTTTCAAACCAGACTGAAATGGGTTCAGGTAGTCCATTTACTCTAGGATCCTCTGGAGCTGTTGCTTGACTACCTTCTCAAACAGCCTTCCGCAAAAGAGAAAATTGGAGACCAGACAGAAATTGTCCAGAATCATTTGGTCCAGTGAGCAGGGGGCACACTATTGCTTCCTTCATGGCCAAAGGAACTGTGCCCTCTCTCAAAGAAGCTGACACTCCATGAAATCCAACCATAGGTCATCTCCCAGGCAGCCTTAACAACACATGAAGGACCTAAATTTAGTAAACAGGTGGCTGAGCTCATAGTCTAAAGGACCCTGTCCACTTAATCAGGAGTTACAGGCTCAAACCCACTCCAGATAACTCCACAAGGCTATGCTTCAGGCACTTGCCCAGTTAGAGTCTGATTCTAAACGTATCTAAATGATTTTATCTGTCAGATAGCGAAAATACTGTTCCCAGTGGCCCTGTACATGTTCCTATGGCTCATCCATCATTACAAGAACAACCAAAGCCTTCTCCAATCAAGTCCCTGCCATTGTCTTGGCAAGATTTCAGAAGTGGCTTGCCACTGCCTACTTCCTAGGGCTGAGAAAGAGTGATTGACCCAAGGTCACCCACCTTAGGCTTTGTGCCTAAGGCGGAACTAGAACTCACAGTCTCCCAGTTTCTTAATTCTTCTAAATTAAGTAGCAGTTGTGTGTACTTTCATTGCTCCTGCTTCAAATATTAGAGATCAATGTTAATCTTATGGCAAAAAAGAAAGTACAATTTGAAAATGTATCCATATGATAAATGTTTCATCCATGCCAGCAGTTCCAATCTGTTAAATCATAATGTTTACATATGTTGAAGAAGAAGAAGAAGAAGAAGAAGAAGAAGAAGAAGAAGAAGAAGAAGAAGAAGAA